GTTTGTGGGAGGGGTTTTGGGGGGGCTGAGGGGATTTGGGGGGGCTCTGAGCGATTTTGTGAGGGCTGAGGGGTTTGGGGGGGGTCAAAGGAGATTTGTGGGGGCTCTGAGGGGTTTTGTGAGGGGGTTTGGGGGAATTTGAGGAGTTCTGAGGGGAATTTGAGAGCCTGAGGGGATTTAGGGGAGCTGAGGGCATTTGAGGGGGGATCTGAGGAGATTTGTGAGGGAGCCTGAGGGGATTTGGGGGGGGGTCTGAGGGGTTTTGTGAGGTAAATTTGGGGCCCTGAGGTGATCTGGGGGCCCTGGTGAGGATTTGAGGGGCTCTGAAGGGTTTTTGAGAGACTCTGAGGGGTTTTTTGAGGGGTCTGAGATGGTTTTGAGAGACTCTGAGGGTTCTTTTGAAGGCTCTGAAGGATTTTTGGGGGGCTCTGAGGTTTTTTTGGGTCTCTTTTTGTGGGATCTGAGGGATCTTTGAAGACTCTGAGGGGTTTTGGGGAGCTCTGAGTGGATTTTTAGAGGGTCTCATGAAGTCTGAGAGAATTTTGAGGTCTTTGAGGGTCTTTTGAGGACTCTGAGGGGTTTTTGGATACCCTGTGGAGTTTTTTGGGGTCTCTTTGGGTTTTCTGGGGTCTTTTTTTGTGGGATCTGAAGAATTTTGGGCATCTCGGAACTTTTTTGTGGGCTCAGAGGTTCTTTTGTGGAGTTTGAGGGTTTTTTTTGTGGAGTTTGAGAGGTTTTTGAGGGTCTCTGTGAGGTTTTGAAGGTTTTTTTTGGGGGCTCTGATGTTTTTTTGTGATTTTTGGGTTTTTTTTGTGGAGTTTGAGAGGTTTTTGAGGGTCTCTGTGAGGTTTTTAGGGTTTTTTTTATGGGCTCTGAGGTGTTTTTGTGAGATTTGAGGGTTTTTTGTGGAGTTTGAGAGGTTTTTGAGGGTCTCTGTGAGGTTTTTAGGGTTTTTTTATGGGCTCTGAGGATTTATTTATGGGGTCTGAAGGGTTTTTTTGGGGTTCACAGGGGGAGTCTTGTGGAAATTTGAGGGACCAGAGCAGGAATTTTGGGTGGTTAAGAAAGAAATTCCATGGGATGATCCAGGAGCATCAGAAATGAGATTTTCCATCCTTTATTTGTTATTCCCGACAATTATCGAGGTGAAAATCCCCATGAACCGTGAGGAATTAATGAATTCTTAATTACTAGTTAATAAATAATAATTCCCTGTCTGGAAAAGCTTTTCCAGAGCCCCATCCCTGCTTGTGGCTCCTTCCCAGGGGGAGATTCCAGAGAAAAATGGGTTAAAAAATGGGATTTTATCCCATTGGGAAAGACACAAATCCCAGTGGGAAACGTGGGATTTGCTCCAGGGGAGGAAAAACCTGGAAAACTGGGAAAAGCGGCCCCGGAATTCCCTTCCCAGCCCAGAAATTCCTGGGATTTTGGGAATTTCTGAAGGGTTTTCCCTTAAAACTTGGAGCTGGAGTTTGGGCTCCTGGGTTTTCCCTCTTTTTCCCCTCTTTTTCCCCTCTTTTTTTCCCCTCTTTTTTTCCCCTCTTTTTTTCCCCTCTTTTTTCCCCTCTTTTTCCCCTCTTTTTCCCCTCTTTTTCCCCTCTTTTTCCCCTCTTTTTTTCCCTTTTTCCCCTCTTTTTCCCCTCTTTTTCCCCTCTTTTTTCCCTCTTTTTTCCCTCTTTTTTCCCTCTTTTTCCCCTCTTTTTCCCCTCTTTTTCCCCTCTTTTTTCCCTCTTTTTCCCCTCTTTTTCCCCTCTTTTTCCCCTCTTTTTTCCCCTCTTTTTTCCCCTCTTTTTTTCCCTCTTTTTTTCCCTCTTTTTTTCCCTCTTTTTTCCCTCTTTTTTTCCCTCTTTTTTCCCTCTTTTTTCCCTCTTTTTTCCCTCTTTTTTCCCTCTTTTTTCCCTCTTTTTTCCCTCTTTTTTTCCTCTTTTTTCCCCTCTTTTTCCCCTCTTTTTCCCCTCTTTTTCCCCTCTTTTTTCCCTCTTTTTTCCCCTCCATTTTTCCCTTTTCCCCCCTCTTTGTTCTCCCAATCCCAGATTTCCCCTTTTGGGATTTTTTGGGATGTTTTTCCCTGGTTTTTAGGATCAGATCTTTGGGATTTTTGGGATCATTTTCCTGCTTTTTAACAGTGAATCTTTGGGATTTGGGATTTTTAGGGATCGTTTTCCTGGAATTTGGGATTTAGTGTTTTTTTGGGATGGTTTTCCCTCTTTTTCCAATCAGATCACGCCCCTTAACGGATTTTCCTGGGATTTTGGGAATTTCGGAGCCACCTCCAGGAGGAATTTTTGCCTTTCCAGCAAAATTTGGGATCCTGGGCTCGTTCTCCTCCCTCTGGAATTCCAACCTTGGATTTCATCCTGGATTTTTTAGGGGATTTTGGGCCCTTTCCCCCTCCCATTCCCATTAAAATCCCCCAGAATTCCCACATGGATTCAACCCCCCCCTTCCCTCCCTTTTTCCAGCTTTTTTTTTCAGCCTGGAATTCCCAGGGAATTTTTGACCTTTTCCAGGTGAATTCCATGAATTATTCATCGACTCCAATTAAAGAATTCCCAATTTATTTCCACTCCCAACGTTCCCAGCTCAAATTTCCCTTTTATTCCCATTTTCCCAATGGATAAACTCCCGTTTTTTCCCTGCCCTGAACAGAATTTTGGGGTTTTTCCCCCCAATTCCTGCTTTTCCCAGTTTTTTTAATGGATTTGACATTCCCTTGATCCCATTATTATTTAATTTTGGGGCTATTCCAGAGATTTTTGTGGATATTCCAGAGGGGTTTTAGGGATATTGATTTATTTTTGGGCTATTCCAAGGGTTTTTCTGGGATATTCCAGGGTTTTTTAGGGCTATTCCAGGTTTTTTGGGGATATTCCAGGTTTTTTTAGGGCTATTCCAGGGTTTTTTTGGGATATTCCAGAGGTTTTTTGGGATATTGATTTATTTTAGGGATATTCCAGGGGTTTTTTTGGCTATTCCAGGATTTTTTTATTTTTTTTTTGATATTCCAGCAGTTTTGAGAATATTCCAGAGGTTTTTCCTTCCCTGGGATCCCAAAAACTCCCAGAGCCTCCCAATCCCGTTTTTTTCCCCCCAAATCCTTTGGAATTCCGGCAGAATTCCCGAGCCTGAGGCTTCCAAAGGAATTCCAGAACTTTATCTGGGAGAGGGATCAATCCTTGATTTTTGGGATCGTTTTTCCAGGGGAAAAAAACCCCAAAATTCCCTTTTCCAGGTTAAAAAAAAAAAGGGGGAAATTCCCTAATTAATGAATCCTAATTAATCCCAAAAATTCCTGATTTTTCCTGGATTTTCCAGCCTCCCAAATCCCCATTTTTTGGGGGAATATCCCAATGTTTTCCATAAAAAAAAAAAGGGAATTCTTTTCCTGCTCCTTTGTCAGGTTCATCCCAGGAGGAAATTCCTGAATTAATCCCGAGGAAACCCTTTAATTAATTCATCCTAATTAATCCTAATTAACCCTGGTAATTAATCCTGGCTTTTCCTGGCTCCCAAATCCCCCGATTTTTTGGGAATTTTCCAGCGTTTTTCCATTAAAAAAAGGGATCATTCCCAGAGTTTTTTCCTTGCTCCATTGTCAGCTCCATCCCTTAATTAATTAATCCTAATTAACCCTAATTAATCCTGGATCTCTGGTAATTAATCCTGGCTTTTCCTGGCTCCCAAATCCCCCAGTTTTTGGGGAATTTTCCGGCGTTTTTCCATTAAAAAAAGGGAATTTTCCCCTCTCCTTTGTCTCCTCTCTTTGTTTCTTTTTCCAAGGGAATTCCCCCTCTGGAATGGGAGAAAAAAAAGGGGGAAAATTGGAGGGAATTTGGGGGAAAAAATGGGAAAAAATGGGGAAAGAAAAGAGGGAAAAACTGGAGGGAATTTGGGGGAAAAAATGGGAAAAAAAGGGGAAAAATTGGGAAATAAGTGGGGTGGATTTGGGATAGATTTGGGATAAATGTGGGATAAATTTATCCATTGACTTTTAATTCCAGGTGTTTTTAAATTCCTTTTAATTCCATTGTTTTTTTTAATTCCAGAGTTTTCTTTAATTCCTGGGGTTTTTAATTCCAGCTTTTTTTATTTCCTTTCTTTTTAATTCCAGGTTATTTTTAATTCCTTTCTTTTTTCATTTCTTTCTTTTTTTATTCCATGTTTTTTTTTTTAATTCCAGGTTTGTTTGTTTTTTTATCCTTTAATTCCAGGGGTTTTAAAATTCCTTTCTTTTTAATTCCAAGGTTTTTAAAAATCCCTTTATTTTTTATTTTCCTTATTTTTAATTCCAAGAGTTCTTATTAATTCCAGGGGGTTTTTTTCCCCCTTTTAATTCCAAGGATTTTTTAATTCCTTTCCTTTTCATTCCAGGCTTTTTTTATCCATTATTTTTTATTCCAGGTTTTTTTTTATCCTTTAATTCCAAGGATTTTTAATTCCTTTATTTTCTATTCCAGGGATTTTTTTGTCCTTTAATTCCAAGGATTTTTAATTCCTTTATTTTCTATTCCAGGCATTTTTTTATCCTTTAATTCCAAGGATTTTTAATTCCTTTATTTTCTATTCCAGGGATTTTTTTATCCTTTAATTCCAAGGATTTTTAATTCCAAGGTTTTTTAATTCCTTTATTTTCCCTTCCAGGGATTTTTTATCCTTTTATTCCAAAGGTTTTTTTAATTCCAGGAGTTTTCTTTTAAATTCCTTTATTTAATTCCCTTTTTTTCCTGTTTTTTCCTCCTTTTCCCACTCCCACATTTCATTTTTTTTTTTCCAGGAAATCTTTCAACATTCCCAAAAAAAAACCCAAAATTCCCAATTTTTCTGCTCCAAAACCTCTGGAATTCCACCCAAAGATGTCCAGGAAGCAGCAGCCCAAAGGTAGGAATTCCCAGAACCCCCAAAATCTGGGATTTGATCCCAAAAAAAAACCCCCCAAATCCGGGAATTTCTTTAATTGGGAATTGCAGCTTTGGGATCTCAGGAATTGTTAATTGGGTTAATTGGGATCGGAGCTCCGGAATTCCCTGGGAATTCCCAGGGAGTTTTCCAAGGATTCTGGGAATGCTCCCAGCTGGGAGGGGGGAAAAATAGGGAAAATTGGGAAAAAAATGGGAATAAAGGTGGGAAAATGAGGGGGAAAATGGGAAAAAAAAGGGGGAAAATTGGGAAAAAATGGGGGGAAATTGGAAAAAAAAAGGGGGAAAATCGGGAAAAAAGGTGGGAAAATTGGGGAAAATGAGGAAAAAAAGGGAAAAATGGGAAAAATAGGTGGAAAAATGAGGGGAAAATAGGGAAAAAATAGGGAAAATAAGGAAAAAAAAAGGGAAAAATGAGGGAAAAGGGAAAGTTGGGAAAAAAATGGAGAAAAATGAGGAGGGAAAGGAGAATTTTGGGGGTTTTGGGAATTTTCCTGGGATTTTGTGGGAAAAATGAGGGGGAAAAGGGGAAATTTTGGGGCTTTGGGAATTTTTCTGGGATTTTGGGGGAAAAAAGGTGGAGAATTCCAGGAAAAATGCTGGAAAATTGAGGGGAAAGAGGGGAAGTTTTGGGGTTTTGGGATCCCAGTAAAGCTGGGAATTTTCCAGGATTTTTCCAGGAATTCCAGGGGGGTTTTTTGGGATTGATTCTCCCAAGGAATCCCAGGGAATTTTTGCTCCCTGTCAGGAATAAAACAGGAAAAATCCAGGAAAAACGAGGTGGAAAAACCCAAATTTGGGGATTTTTGGGATCCCAGCTCAAGTGGGAATTTCCCCTTGAATCCCAGGAATTTTTTGGGATCAATCCCCCCACAATTCCCCCATTTTCCCTAAAAAAAAAAAATCCACAAAATCCAGCCAGAATTCCAGCAAAAAATAAAAAAAAAAGGGATTTAAAGCAGAAAACCTCATCCCTAAATCCCCTTTTTTAGCCTCAAAAATTCCCAAGGCTCCTTTCCCGCTTTTTCCATGGGTTTTTCCCTTTTTTCCGAGGTGTTTTTCCAGGGTTTTTCTGCGGGATGAGAGGATTCCCTTGGAATGTTAATTCCAGAGGGTGTTTGGAGAGGGGGGAGGGGCCTCATTTGTCTTTATTTGCCTTTAATTAATTATTGAGAGGCAATTCCAGGCCCTTTCCCAGCGGGAAAATCCAGGGATTTTCCGGGATAATTTTCCCATTTGCTCTGCCAGATGGATCCTAAAGGATTATCCCGAAAAAAAATTGGGATTTGGGGAGGGGGGGGGTTTTTTAGAGGGAAAAAGGTGGGAAATTGGGGGGAAAAATGGGGATTTGGGGGGGGAATTGGGGGGAAAATGTGGGAATTTAGGGAGAAATGTGGGAATTTTGGGGGAAAATGTGGGAATTTTGGGGGAAAATGTGGGAATTTAGGGAGAAATGTGGGGATTTAAGGAGAAATGTGGGAATTTGGGGGGAAACCATTGGAATTTGTGGGAATTTGGAAGGAAGAATTTGGGATATTGAGGGAAAAACACCTGGAATTTGAGGGTTGGAGCTTCCTGGAGCTGGAATTTTTTGGGATCGAAGCTCCTGGGCTTGGAATTTGCCCTGGAGAGGGAATTTTTGGGCTTTGGAAGTTCCTGGGGCTGGGAATTTTGGGATTTGGGGTGGGAATTCTGGGATTTGGGGTGGGAATTTTGGGATTTGGGGTGGGAATTCTGGGATTTGGGGTGGAAATTTTGGGATTTAGGGTTCGAATTCTGGGATTTGGGTGGGAATTTTTGGATTTAGGGTGGGAATTTTGGGATTTAGGGTGGGAATTTTGGGATTTAGGGTTCGAATTCCAGGATTTGGGGTGGGAATTTCGGGATTTGGGTGGGAATTTTGGGATTGGGGGATGCTGTGGGGCCGGGATCCAGCATTCCCAGGGAAATTCCCGGGTTTTTCCCACAGATTCCTTGGGATTCATCTTCGATGTTCGCTCCGGGGCCGTGCGGGCGCAGGGCGGCTGCTCCGAGAACATGAAGGAAAAGGTGCCCAGAATTCCCAAAATTCCCAAATTCCCAACAATTCCCAACAATTCCCACTCACCCAGGAGTCCCCAGTTTTCCCAGGGATTCCCATTTTCCCACAATTCCTCTTGAATTTTTCCAGGGATTTTTCCCGGGATTTTTCCCTCGTTTTTCCCCCAGAATTTTCCGTTGATTTCCCATGGATTTTTCCAGGGATTTTTCACTGTTTTCCCGTGTTTTTCTCATGGGTTTTTCCATGACCTTCCTTTGGATTTTCCCACGGTTTTCCCAGAGTTTTTTTCCTGGGATTTTCCCCTGATTTCCCCTGACTTTTCCATGGTTTTTCCATGGCTCTTTCCCCGTGGATTTTCCCCTGGATTTCCCATGGATATTCCCAGTTTTTCATGGGATTTCCCCTGGATATTCCCCTGGATTTTCCCATGGATATTCCCATTTTTCCCATGGATATTCCATGGATTTTTCCCAGGTACAGGCGGTGCGGGCGGTGGTTCCCCAGCCCAGCACCCCCTGAATATTCCTCAGGATATTCCCTGGATATTCCCAGTTTTTCATGGGATTTCCCCTGGATATTCCCCGTTTTTCCCATGTTTTTCCCCTGAATATTCCATGGATATTCCCAGTTTTTCCCATGGATTTTCCCTGTTTTCCCAGGTACAGGTGGTGCGGGCGGTGGTTCCCCAGCGCAGCACCCCCTGGATATTCCCAGTTTTTCATGGGATTGCCCCTGGATTTTCCCAGTTTTTCCCCTGGTTATTCCATGGATTTTCCCCTGGATTTTCCATGAATTTTCCCATGGATACTCCCAGTTTTTCCCATGGATTTTCCCTGTTTTCCCAGGCACAGGCGGTGCGGGCGGTGGTTCCCCAGCGCATCACCCTCTGTTTTCCCTCTGACTTTCCCCAGTTTTTCCCCTGGATATTCCCATGGATTTCCCCTGAATATTCCACGGATTTTCCCAGTTTTTCATGGGATTTTCCCATGGATATTCCATGGATTTCCCATGGATTTTTCCCAGGTCCAGGCGGTGCGGGCGGTGGTTCCCCAGCGCAGCACCACCGAGATCCTGCTGGTGCTGCAACACTTCGACAACGCCGTGGACAGCGCCGTGCAGGCCTTCATGGAGGGTGGGAATGCCGGAATTCCCGGGAATTCCGGGAATTTCGGGAATTCTGGGATCGAGGGAGGGGGTTCTGGGATCGGGGGAAGGGAATTTTGGGGTTTGGGGAGGGAATTTTGGGGACTGGGCCGTGCAGGCCTTCATGGAGGGTGGGAATGCCGGAATTCCCGGGAATTCCGGGAATTTCGGGAATTCTGGGATCGAGGGAGGGGGTTCTGGGATCGGGGGAAGGGAATTTTGGGGTTTGGGGAGGGAATTTTGGGGTCAGCGCCGTGCAGGCCTTCATGGAGGGTGGGAATGCCGGAATTCCCGGGAATTCCGGGAATTCTGGGAATTCTGGGATCGAGGGAGGGGGTTCTGGGATCGGGGGAAGGGAATTTTGGGGTTTGGGGAGGGAATTTTGGGGTTTGGGGAGGGAATTTTGGGGACAGCGCCGTGCAGGCCTTCATGGAGGGTGGGAATGCCGGAATTCCCGGGAATTCCGGGAATTCTGGGAATTCTGGGATCGAGGGAGGGGGTTCTGGGATCGGGGGAAGGGAATTTTGGGGTTTGGGGAGGGAATTTTGGGGTTTGGGGAGGGAATTTTGGGGACAGCGCCGTGCAGGCCTTCATGGAGGGTGGGAATGCCGGAATTCCCGGGAATTCCGGGAATTTCGGGAATTCTGGGATCGAGGGAGGGGGTTCTGGGATCGGGGGAAGGGAATTTTGGGGTTTGGGGAGGGAATTTTGGGGACAGCGCCGTGCAGGCCTTCATGGAGGGTGGGAATGCCGGAATTCCCGGGAATTCCGGGAATTTCGGGAATTCTGGGATCGAGGGAGGGGGTTCTGGGATCGGGGGAAGGGAATTTTGGGGTTTGGGGAGGGAATTTTGGGGTCTGGGGAGGGAATTTTGGGGACAGCGCCGTGCAGGCCTTCATGGAGGGTGGGAATGCCGGAATTCCCGGGAATTCCGGGAATTCTGGGATCGAGGGAGGGGTTTCTGGGATCGGGGAAGGGAATTTTGGGGGTTGGGGAGGGAATTTTGGGGTTTGGGGATGGAAATTCCAAGAAGGAATTCCAGGATTTGGAGAGGGAATTCTGAGATTTGAGGAGGGAATTTTGGGGGTTTGGGGATGGGATTTTGGGATTTGGGATAGGAATTTGGGAATGCCAGGAGAAAATGCCAGGATTTGGGGGAGGGAATTCTGGGATTTCTGGAGGGAATTTTGGGGATTCAAGGAGGGAATTTTGGGATTAGGGGAGGGAATTCTGGTATTTTGGGAGGGGATTCCAGGATTTTGGGAGGGAATTCTGGGATTTGGTGTGGAAATCTGGGAATTCCGGAATGCCAGGAGGGAATTCTGGGATTTGGGCAGGGAATTATGGGACTGGGGAGGGATTTGGGGAGAGATTTGGGATGGAATTTTTGGAATTTGGGATGGAATTTTTGGGATTTGAAGGGATTTGGGCTGGAATTTCAGGTTTGGAGATGCCTGGGGGGGTTGGAATTTAGGGAATCCTCTTTTTCCCTCCCCCTCATTCCCAATTTTTCCCATTTTTTTCCAGGGAATGCCAGCGAGGTGCTCAAGGAATGGACGGTGACCGGGAAAAAAAAGGCAATTCCCAAAAATTCCCCCCCAAAAAATCCCCCAAATCCCAATCCCTGAGGAATTAACCCCGGGAATCTCAGGGTCCAGAGGAATCCCAAATTCCAGGGCCTGGAATTTCCAAGGAATTCCAGCCCAGGCCTCACATCCAGGGGTTGTTTCATTCCTGGCATCATCCACCTTGAAATCCCAAAATTCCCGTGGGGAATCCCACAGGAAAATGGATTTTTTTCCCAATTTTTCCCCCAATTTTTCCCCATTTTTTCCCCCATTTTTTTCCCAATTTTTCCCCATTTTTTCCCCATTTTTTCCCCATTTTTTCCCCATTTTTTCCCAATTTTTCCCAATTTTTTCCCCATTTTTTCCCCCATTTTTTCCCCATTTTTTCCCAATTTTTCCCAATTTTTTCCCCATTTTTTTCCCAATTTTTTCCCCATTTTTTCCCAATTTTTTTCCCATTTTTTTCCCCATTTTTTCCCCATTTTCCCCCCACTTTTCCCAATTTTTTCCCAATTTTCCCCCCATTTTTTCCCAATTTTTTTCCCAATTTTTTTCCCAATTTTTTCCAATCAAAGCCTGGATTTTTCCCATTTTTTCCCCATTTTCCCCCAACTTTTTTCCCATTTTTTCCCAATTTTACCCCCATTTTTTCCCAATTTTCCCCCCATTTTTTCCCAATTTTCCCCCCACTTTTCCCAATTTTTTTCCCAATTTTTTTCCCAATTTTTTTCCCAATTTTTTTCCCAATTTTTTTCCCAATTTTTTTCCCAATTTTTTTCCCAATTTTTTCCAATCAAAGCCTGGATTTTTCCCATTTTTTCCCCATTTTCCCCCAACTTCTTTCCCAATTTTTCCCCCATTTTTCCCCCATTTTTCCCCCATTTTTCCCCCATTTTTTCCCAATTTTTTTCCCAATTTTTTTCCCAATTTTTTCCCAATCAAAGCCTGGATTTTTCCCATTTTTTCCCCATTTCCCCAACTTTTTTCCCATTTTTTCCCAAATCAAAACCTGAATTTTCCCCTCATTTTTCCCATTTTTCCCCCAAACAAAAACCTGGAATTTTCCCCATTTCCCCCTCATTTTTCCTCCCGTTTTCCCCCGTTTTTATTCCCAATAAAACCCGGAATTTTCCTCATTCCCGATTTTTTTTTTTCCCAGAACAAGAAGAAGAAACCCAAAGCCAAATCCCAGCCCGGCTCCGATCCCGCGGGAAAATCCCAGCCCGGGGAGGAGGGAAATTGGGAAAAGTCGGGAAAACCGGGAATTTCCCAGAACGGATTCCACGGGAACGGCGCCGAATCCCCGGAGCCGCTCGGGGAGAGCCCCCAGGGAGGAGCAGGTGGGAGGGGAAATCCGGGAATTCCGGGAAAATCCGGGAATTCTGGGGGAAATCTGGGAATCCTGGGGGAAATCCGGGAATTCCAGGGGGAAATCTGGGAATTTTAGGGAAAAAATCTGGGAATTTTAGGGAAAAAATCTGGGAATTGGGAGATAAATCTGGGATTTGGGGTGAAAAAGAATCCAGGAATTTTGTGGGGAAATTTGGGAATTGGGAATTCTGGGAATTCCGGGGGAATCTGGGAATTTTAGGGAAAAAATCTGGGATTTGGGAGAAAAAACTGGGATTTGGGGTGAAAAAATCCAGGAATTTTAGGGGAAAATTTGGGAACTGAGGGGAAGAATCCGGGAATTGGGGGAAAATGTGGGATTTGGGGGGGGAAATCCAGGAATTTGGGGGGAAATTGGGGAAAAATCCAAGAATTTGGGGGAAAATCCGGGAATTTGGGGTAAATCTGGGATTGGGGGAATTTTCTTGGGATTTTTTGGGGTTTTGCAGAGTTGGATCCAGAATTCCAGAGGTCAGGGAATGTTTGGATCCTTGGGATTTGTTGGGATTTGGGGATTTCTTGGAATTCTGGGGATTCCCAAGGGGAATTTTGGCTTTTCCCGCAGCCCTGGGGAACGGAATTCCGGCTTTTCCCGCCCAATCCCGGAGCGACCCCGGCGGGAAGAAACTGGGTGAGGAACGGGAAAAACGGGAATTGGGGAGGGAAAATGGGAATTCTGGGAATTGGGGAGGGAAAATGGGAATTCTGGGAATTGGGGAGGGAAAATGGGAATTCTGGGAATTGGGGAGGGAAAATGGGAATTATAGGAGGGGAGAAATGGGAAAAATTCAGGAAAAATCAGGAAAAAATTGGGACAAACCAAGAAAAATTGGGGGAAAAAATGGGGGAAAAATCAGGAAAAAAACCCAGAAAAAGTGGGAAAAAACCAGGGAAAATTTGGGAAAAGTCAGGAAAAAATCAGGGAAAAAAAACAGGGAAAAAGTCATGTAAAATCAGGGAAAAATCAGGGAAAAATCAGGAAAAAATGGGGGAAAACGGGGAAAAAATGGGGAAAAATCTGGGAAAAATTGGGAAAAAATGTGGAAAAAATGGGGAAAAAATCAGGAAAAAATGTGGAAAAAAATGGGAAAAAAAATGGGGAAAAATCAGAAAAAAATGAGAAAAAATCAGGAAAAAATCAGGAAAAAATGGGAAAAAATCAGGAAAAAATGGGGAAAAATCAGGAAAAAATGGGAAAAAATCAGGGAAAAATCAGGAAAAATGAGGGAAAATCTGGGAAATCTGGGAATCTGCTCCCTGATTCAGGAGCGGGGCTGGAGAAGTCTGGGAAGGAGCTGCGGGGCTGCGCTGGCGCTGCAGTGGGAGAAATGGGGAAAAAATGGGAAAAAAACGGGAAAAATCAGGAAAAAATGAGGAAAAATCTGGGAAAAAATGGGGAAAAAATGTGGAAAAATCTGGGAAAAAATCAGAAAAAAATGGGAAAAAATCAGGAAAAAATGAGGAAAAATCTGGGAAAAAATGGGGAAAAAATGGGGAAAAAATTAGGAAAAAATGGGGAAAAAATGGGAAAAAAAATGGGGAAAAATCAGAAAAAAATGAGAAAAAATGGGGAAAAAATGGGAAAAAATCAGGAAAAAATGGGGAAAAATCAGGAAAAATGCGGGAAAATCTGGGAAATCTGGGAAATCTGGGAATGTGATGCGTGATCCCTGTTCCAGGAGCGGGGCTGGAGAAGTCTCGGAAGGAGCTGCGGCGCTGCGGGGCTGCGCTGGCGCGGTGCCGGGCGCTGCTCAGGGAGGAGCTGCAGGGATCCCTGCGCCGGCTGCGGGCGGCCTTCAGCGACATCCACGCCTGGTACGGGAATAACGGGAATTCTGGGAATAACGGGAATGCTGGGAATAACGGGAATGCTGGGAATGCTGGGAATGCTGGGAATGCTGGGATGGGCTGGGGCCTTCAGCGACATCCACGCCTGGTATGGGAATAACGGGAATTCTGGGAATAACGGGAATGCTGGGAATAACGGGAATGCTGGGAATGCTGGGATGGGCTGGGGCCTTCAGCGACATCCACGCCTGGTACGGGAATAACGGGAATTCTGGGAATTCTGGGAATGCTGGGAATGCTGGGATGGGCTGGGAATGCTGGGATGGGCTGGGGCCTTCAGCGACATCCACGCCTGGTATGGGAATAACGGGAATGCTGGGAATAACGGGAATGCTGGGAATAACGGGAATGCTGGGAATGCTGGGATGGGCTGGGGCCTTCAGCGACATCCACGCCTGGTACGGGAATAACGGGAATTCTGGGAATTCTGGGAATGCTGGGAATGCTGGGATGGGCTGGGAATGCTGGGATGGGCTGGGGCCTTCAGCGACATCCACGCCTGGTATGGGAATAACGGGAATTCTGGGAATAACGGGAATGCTGGGAATGCTGGGAATGCTGGGAATGCTGGGATGGGCTGGGGCGTTCAGTGACATCCACGCCTGGTACGGGAAAAACGGGAATGGAAACGGAATTCTGGGAATGCTGGGAGTGCTGGGAATGCTGGGAATGCTGGGAATGCTGGGATGAGGCCTTCAGTGATATCCACACCTGGTATGGGAATAATAACCGGGAATAACGGGAATTCTGGGAATTCTGGGAATGCTGGGATGGGCTGGGGCATTCAGTGATATCCACGCCTGGTATGGGAATGGGAACTGGGAATAACGGGAATTCTGGGAATTCTGGGAATGCTGGGAATGCTGGGAATGCTGGGATGGGGCGTTCAGCGATATCCACACCTGGTATGGGAATAATAACCGGGAATAACGGGAATTCTGGGAATAACGGGAATTCTGGGAATGCTGGGATGGGCTGGGGCCTTCAGCGACATCCACGCCTGGTATGGGAATAACGGGAATGCTGGGAATAACGGGAATGCTGGGAATAACGGGAATGCTGGGAATGCTGGG